GGGCTGGAACCCAGGCGGGAAGTGCACGAGGTTGGCTTGCTTGGTGACGAGGGAAGGGTCCAGGCAGAAGGTGTCAAACCGTTCAACCAAAGGCTAGAAGTCCAAGCAGTGGAGTTAATCCCCCACATACCCGGTGGGACATTCATCCAGCGCTCAGCTCAGGGCTTTCCCTGTGCTAGCTCCGAGCCCCACATCTCCTGCCAGGAGGGGCGCCAGCCCCCATCCTAACCCAGGGGCACCAGGGGATGCAGCGGGGCTGGGCATCTGGGCAAGAGCTCTGACCCATGGGTGCTGCTCTGCAGGGCCACCACTCCCCCAACCTTCCTTCCTAGAGCGGTCCAGAAACCTAATTACACAGGGAGCTGGTGGCTGAGCATGAAAAGGGAGGGAAACAGAAATCAAGGACCACCTGCCCTAGGGTTATGACCACATAATCCTAAGGCAGTGGTGGCCAACCCATGGTGCATATACTGCAGTGGGCTGCTCGTATCATTGAGAGCTCTAAAAGTTTGCCATCATAGGGGATTGGGGATATAGCTTAGCAGCATAAGCACCTGCCTGGCAAGTGCAAGGTCCTGAGTTTGATCCCCAGTACCCCCCCCCAAAAAAAGATAAAAGTTTGCCCCCTCCCTTTCCTAGGGAGTTACTAATGCTGCTCTATTTCTCCAGAGCCACAGCTATACATACCTTATTGTCCTTTACTTGGGAGGAAGTTTCCGTTTGATGGGCATCGTTTGCATCTGAAAATTTCAGAGAAATTTAGTAAGAACAGGACCACAAATACTATAAATGAGGCCAATCACACGCATGGCTTCTAAATCCTAAAAGCCAAAGTAGAATGGTATGTCCTCTCCCTCCTGGGTCCAAATTTCTCTAGGAAGAGGCATAAATGAGAACAAATTCCAAGTCCTGCACCAGCAGCCTGGTGGAGCTGCCACAGTTGTATGGAAGGTGATGGAAGGAAAAGGGACACACTTCTCTAAATCCTGCTACACACTACAGAGCCTAATGGGGCAGAAATAAAGGCCAGGAGGATGAAAAATCTAAAAAAGTAACTCAAGCAATCCTTTCAACCTTCAGACAGTGATGCAGAGTGTGGGAGAGAGGCGCAGCGGCAGTGAGGAGAACTCTGCGGACACGCTCAGCCGAGAGCGCGGCAGAGGCTCACCCAGGATGGCGGCGGCCTGCAGGGAGCACTTCTCTGACCGCACTTGGGTGATGAGCTCGTGCACATCAGGCAAGTCCTGCAATGATTCCAAGAAAGCACACTCAGAGCCAGCAGCGCCTGGGCAGCCCCACCTCACCACTAACCTGGGGGAAGAGATCCCACTGGGACTTTCATAGTTTTGCTTTCATTTACTTTTTTTTTACGTAGAACCGGGGATTGAACTCAGGCCCTTGCGCTTGCCAGGGAAGCGCTTATTCCACTGAGCCATCTCCCCAGCCCCTTCATTTACTTCTGATTACAACAAATAAACAACAATTAAAAAACACCCAGCCTGTTTCAAGCGGGCTGCGCTATACCATGGCTTAAGTGATAGTATGCATGAAACAGTTATGTCTGTATCTATACACTGATACGCTGTAATTGTATCACATTCTGTTCTAGGCAGTTTAACTGGTAATTTAACCAGCACAATACTATTGCAATAAATCTGTCCAGAGGACAGAACTCAGAAGCACAGAGAGGCACTGGCCACACGGGGCAGGGCTGTAACCTAGAATAAAGACCTCTGCTATCACCTTCCCCGTTTCTCTGTGGGAGATACTGGGTTCTCTGTCTCAGTCTCTTGCTGGGCAAATTATTTTTCTCTCCTGGGCACAGGGCAGCAGCGCCTCCAGGCTGGCCTGGCACTCGTCATTCAGAGTAACTCAGTTCCATCAGTGACTGAGACTGGGTCTTGCTTTAATCACTGAGGATTCTGAAAAATCCCAATGTCCACTCCAGATGCCAGCAATCAGAACCAGGAGCTCTCAGAGTGGGATGCAAACACCCATTTTTAAAAAATCTTGCCTGGCAATTCTAACATGAAGCCAAATCAGAGAATAGTACCACAGGGTTTTGTTTGTTTTGCCTATCTCAGGGGCTGGGGAGATAGCTCAGTAGATAACTCAGTCCTGAGTTCAACCCCTAGTTCCACAAAATAAATAAATTAAAAAATTAATAAATAAAAAAACCCTATCTCAGGGCTGGAATGCGCTATACAACTAATAGCTCAAGGGCAAGCAGGTAACAGAGCCTGAGAAGCAGCCCTGGGTCTACCTGTGCAGGCCCAGCCCTGGCTCCCCACACATCTTCCTGGGCTTGAAAAGGACAGAGGGCTTACTTTTAGGCTGTTCTTGAAGGCTCCTGAGTCAGAGTTTACTTCGTCTGCATACTTCAGGACTCTGTCGTACAGGACAAGGGCTTCGCTCCACTTCTTCACCAACACGTAGGACTGAGCAATGAAAAAACACCTGATGGGGAGGGAGAAGAGCCACAGTATTCTAAAGCAACAACTGCACAAGACCAAGGCTTTCTCTGTAGCACAGGTTGAATTTTCAACTTGGGAACAGCAGTTTTTTTTTCCCAGTTATAATTTTATTTTTGATCAATAGGTGGTTGACTCAGTAGGTGCAGAACCTGCACACATGCAGCAAACTGCATATAGATTAGTGTGTGATTGTGTGCACGCGTTCTTTTTTTTTAATGTGTGTTAATTCCGTATCTTGGGGAAACAGGACTTTTCTTTTGTGGTGCTAGAGATTGAACCCAAGGTCTCTGCAATGAACTACAACCTCAGCCTTCTAAAATGTTTATATTTAAAAATTTTGAGGGCTGGCGAGATGGCTCAGTGGTCTAAAGCACCTATTTGGAACAAGCTTGGCAAAGCACAGGGACCACGGTTCAATCCCCCAGCACCACATGCCAGCCAGCCCCGCCCCCTGGTGGGCTGAGCTGGCCACACACACACAATAAATAAATAAATGTTAAAAAAAAAAATTAAAAAAATAAATAAATAAATAAATAAATAAAAATTTTGAGACAGGGTCTTGCTAAGTCACTAAGTGGCCCACGTTGGGTTTGAACTTGTGGTCCTCCTGCTTCAGTTGCATGGAATGGAGGGATTACAGGCAGGCAACTATAAGAGGCCTGCACAGAGAGAGGCCTGCGTGTGGCCTAAGTATAATCTTACCCATCAACATCTTCCCATCTAAACCACCATCACTGGCTCTGCTCACATCTTTTTAAAAAACAAGAGCAAGGAAGGTTCTTCTTAATTGAATTTTTTCTACTAGCCTCAAAAAAGCCCAAGCCCTTCTGGCCCTCTTCCTCGTCTTTGCATGGGGACAGAACCCAGTGCCTTCACAATCAGCTTGTGGCAGCACACCAGGCTCGCCGCTGACTTAACAGGACAGAAGGGACCACCTGAGCAAAGGGCCTAAAAAAAAGGTGAACATGCACAGGACTCTCCTGTCACTCCAAGTGGACCCCCATCATGCTGTACAGCCCACTCCATGTCACCGTGATTTCATGTAAGGCACTGGCTATCACCGCTTTAGCCCAGTTCAGTTCAGGCTTCCTGAATTGGCCATTCTGCTTGTGCTAGTTAACACAGCCTTCCTAATGCTATCTCTTTTTCACTGGGGTGGTGGTGAGGGCAAGGGTTAACGTGTGTGCTCTGGCTGCCCCTGTTCCATCTGAAGAGCACACAAGGAACACGGGATACTACTTGCTGCAACTATTGGTAGGACTTCCGATGTACCCATGGGGCTGAGCCTGTCCACTCAAGGCAAGGCAGCCACACAGCCAGGTGCCAGCAGCTCTGTCTCCCAAAGCTGACAGAACTGCTGGAGGCAGAGAAGAGTCCAGCCCTCTCAGGATGTTACCTGTAAGCTTTGAACACCAAGGTCTTGAGGCCTATCTCTCTCTGGAAGGTTCTGTCGTCCTCTAAGCCAGGAAGCTGTAGTAATTCCACCAGGTTCTATACAACAGATACAAAAAGAAAACTCGCTGAGTAGACCTGCTTTGTAAGAGCAGATAAAGGGAGGGGAAAAGACCTGTGCTCAAAACAATGTGACAAACCTGTGTGGATTGACTTGGCAGCAGCCCTACCTGGTGCCTCTCTGTTCCTCTCTGATACTGACAACCGATTTTCCTTTAACACTCAACTCGTAGCGGGATTACCTTCCAAAACTTTTTGGACCATCTCAGCCAGAAGGTTCCATCCAGCTATGGATTTTCATTTCAGAGTTGTTTACTCACTCAGCTGCGACACAGACACTGCATGCAGGTGTGCAGCAAAACATCTATTACTACTTGACCAGCTCCCAGGGGCTGAGACAGCGTGGGCTCACGTCTCTGGATGGTCCTCCACACTGGGAAAGTTTTGTTTTTGTTTTTTTTTTTTTTTGAGAGGTCCTACCTAGCCCAGGCTGGTCTCAAATAATTCATGGGCTCAAGTGACTCTCCCACCTCAGCTTCTGCACAGCTGCACTAGAGGCGTACATCACCAGGCCTGGCTGCTGGGAAAGCATCTCACAGAGGAAGAGTTCAGTGACTATCTGTGAGTTTACTCTCTGTGCTTCAAAAGAATTCAACACGTCTGATGCATGGATGTCACAGACTGCGAACTGGTACAAAACCTGTCTTCCATCCAGTTACTAAATGCTCTTGGCTGGCATGGCCCTGTCGTTACGCAGTTCGTCACTTTGTGTCCTACACAGGCACAGTAGGGCACAAGGTCACCTGTAGAATGATGTCATAGAGCCGGATCAGGTCCTGCGGCCGGGGAGAGCGCTTGCTGTCATCTTCTGGCTGCTGCTGCAGCAGCGCCTTCTGCAGACCTTTAGCCATGTTCTCATTTCTCTTGATTGCCGTTGACAGCTTGATGTAGGTCAGGTAGCTGAAACACACCACATGTCAGCTCGGGTTATGTTCAGGGAAGCTGATGCTCTGGGAAAGGCACTGGACTGTGTTTTGAGACTGCCCTCAGGTAGGTGTGGAGTGAGGCTGTGTCATACAGCAGGAACGTCGGGTCTGGGCCTCAAGCTCATGGGTCTGCAAGTTGGTAGCTTTTCAATGGCAAACTTAGAGGGCGGCCGGACTGAAATGAGACTTCATCAGAAAATTTTATTTCAGCTTGAATTACATGCTGTGTTTTTCCAAGAGCCACAGGAACTCCTGATTTAGAGGATACTGCCGGTCCTTGAGAAGGCCCACAGGTGGGACAGGAAAGGCAGCCATGGAGCTTGGGGGCAGAGTGCATGCACAAAGCGCTGCATTCCATCTGGAGACCACAAGCAGAAGGCCCACGGAGGGGAACTAGTTTTGGGATGAGGACTAGTCCTCTCCCCGGCCTGTGCCGAAGGACCATAAGTTTGCGCCACCCCCGCCCCACTAATGGATGTCTTCTCTGCTCAGAAGCACTGTGGCATGGTATTTCAATGGTCATGCAACTAGGCACATGGAAATGACAGACTACATAATACCTGCCCATTTTAACTGTACCACCCAGCAAGTCCCTTTAATGCTGGGAAAGTTGTCAAACGACTGAATTCCCAAATTAAGAAGTAGCAACATCACATGTCATTTTGGGATTTAGAGGAAAACACCAAAAGAATTTGTTAAAAGAATTAAAAATAGCTGCTTCTGGAAAATGGGGAAAAAACCCCATAAAAAAACAAGCGAGAATGTCATGAGATGTAATTAATTGGCCAGGCACAGTGGTACATGCCTGTAATCCCAGCATTCTTGAAAGCTGAAGCAGGAGGGCAGGAAGTTTTGAGCCCAGACTGTGCAACTTAGGGAGAACCTGTCTCAAAATAATTTTAAAATGGGCTGGGAATGTAGCTCAGTGGTAGAATGCTCACCTGGCATATGTGAGGGCCCTGGTTCAATCCCTAGTACCACACACACGTATGCATGCACACACGCACACATACATGCGTGCACCCTCCTGATCATGAAAATCTACAATTGTTATTATTATGTATTTAGTACAAGTTGCCAGGGACATAGCTCAGTGGCATAAAGGCCTGCCTGGCAAGCATAAGGTCATAAGTTCTATCCCTGGTGTGTGTGTGGGGGTGTAATTGCCTGCCTGTATTTAGTACAGAGTCTATAGGGTGTCCCTACACAGATTGGACTGTAGTGATCCTCCTGTTTTCAGCCTCCCAAGTGCTGGGATTATGGGTGTGCTCCACCACGCCCAGTCTCATTAGCTGACAGCACGCCCTGGGGGTGGGCTGGCACAGCACACTGGGAAGCAAACATTTAGAACACAAAGGAGAATAACTTTCAGAGGTTGGAACCAGAAAGGAAGTGGCTGGCTCTAGAAGACAGGGAGAACTAGGCAGTGGGAGAGGCCACAGGGAGCTTCAAAGTTTCTGGCTATGCTGAAACTCCCCTCACCTCCAGTACTGGAGACTGAACCCAGGGCCTTCACACTGAGCTGCATCTCCAGCTTGTAAATTTTTTTGAGACAGGATCTTGCTAAAGTGCCAACCTGTGCTTCCACTTGTAGTCTTATGGCCTGCACCTCTGCAAATGTTGAGATTACAGGTATGTGTACCACCATGTCTGGATGTTTGAGATTTTAAACTATGTGAAAATCTTAAATTATACATAATATCTATTTAATATGAAAATGCAGTGTGTATACGCAAATGATAAAGTGCACGTATGCATTAGTGTTAAAGAAATCAGTAATTAAAATGTACATAAACATTATATACACTATTGTTACAATGTTGTATTTGAAACATTAAAAGTAGAAAAATCACAACAACCCTTACCTGTGCAGGTACTGAAGATTAGATACCTTCCCTGACTCCCCCTCAGGGGTGTAATCTCTCTGTTTCTGTAGAAAATGAAAAAGGTAAAAGGTAAAGCGGCCAATTCCATTTTCCCACCTCCTTCCACGGTGTGGTCCTAAAAGTGCCCTGAACAAAACACAGTCTCCAGGTAAGTCCAGGGCCCTCAAAAGTCAAAGGTTACTTAATAAATTATAGAATGGGGGAGCACTGGGGCTGCGGAGGTGGGAGATCATGTTTGTATGGGCAGGCTGGGGGCTGGAGCGGAGAGTCGGGGTGGCATTCCTGGCTTTGCATGGGAGAAGTTCAGAGTGCTCCAGAAATGGAGGGTGCTGGCTGGGGTGCCAGGGTTGTGAGGGGGCAGGGCTGGTTTGAAACTTCCCCTTGGGCCTCCGGGCCTCTCGCCTCAGGAGAGTTAGAGCCAAGCTGACAGAAACTTCTTCGAAATCTTGGGCTCCTTGATAGGTGTGGCGTAAACCTGTAATCTCAGCATTTTGGGAGGAAGAGGCAGAAGGGCCATAAGTTTAGACCACCCTGGACAATTTAGTTTGAAGTTGCGGCTGGCATGGTGTGGTGGACACCTGCAATCCCAGCTCCTTGGGAGGCTGAGGCAGAAGAGTTGCAGTGAGCTTGATGCTGGCCTGAATTTTAAGCAAGACCCTGTCACAAGACACATACCCCCATATGTACATTGAGGAAACGGGGGTGGGATGTGCCTCCATGGGAGAGCACTTGCTTAGCATGCACAGGACCCTTGGCTCAATCTCTAGTGCCAGAAACCACAAAAGGAACTCTTGGATACAGAAGAGTGAGCTCCTCCTGATCTCCATTTCCTTAGTGACGCAGGTAGCTGTGAAAGGATGAGGTGGCCTCCTTAGGTGTGACTTGCTCTCCAGAGGAAACTAGGGATTGCTGAATCACTCTGTCAAGTGATAATGTGTATTAAACCAATGCAACAAAATGTCACTTGACTTCTTTTGAGCAGGGCTCTTTTGTGCTTTAATAATTTGTATTTATGCTAAAATGTATTAAGTATTTAAAATATTTATGATGGGGAGTGAAAAAATACTTATGATAGTATTTTTTGAAATAAAATTTAAAAAAAAGAAATAAAATTTTATGAAATAAAATTTCCAGTGAAAACAAAAAAATATATATAGAATGACAGGATCATTTTAAACACTGGCCCAAGTAACAGAATTTAGAAAGACAGCTGGTTTAGTTTCCTGCTCACTGCCCAAGGGTCTAGAGCCAAGCAGTAAGAACAAACCATAGCTCTTTCAGGGGCTGTGCCTAAAACTCAAGGTCACAGCCGACTCCCAGGGAGGGCTGTTGTTCAGCCCACTAAGATGCCCACATGCTAACCTCCAAAATCAGAGATGTCACCTCCCATGGTAGAAGAGGCCTCACAGGTATAATTAAACATCCATGGATTAGCCAGGTGAGCCCAGTGTCACCCATGCTCTTTGGAAGAGGAGAGCAGCCAGAAAGGAGAGAATGCTGAAGATGGAAGAAAGGGTCACACAGAACTGCAGGTCGTCTTTAGAAGCCAGGAAACTTATTCTGTGGAAGAGTGGGCAAGGGTTCTCTCTAGGTTTCTCCACGGCTTCCAAAGGACAGCAGACTGTGAAGCCACTTTACATTCCTTACCTCCTGAAGTACATGGTAATGGCTCCGGGCTTCTTTAAGCCACTGGGCTCATGGTGGTGTTACGCAGCTGCACCAGGCAGCAGATGCACCTCCGCATCACACCATTCCCTGCATCCTGAGACGTCTGCTCACTGCTACAAAGTCAAGGAAAGGGAGGGAGACTGGCCTGGGAAGGTCCCTCTGCCAGGTGGATGCAAGGTGGCATAAATATGTAACGGCCATCTAATGGGAGAAGCAGGTGACTACATGGAGAAAGCAGTAGTTTAACTTAAAGATACTACATTTACTTGAATATTTTATACTCAAGGCACTGGAGCAGATGCTGAAACACAAACATTTTCAGAGATGACCTTGAAACTAGGTAGGGCTTAAGAGAGGCAGCACAAAGATTATGCAGGCCTAAGAAGGGAAAACAGCATGCACTCGGGTGGGAATGGTACGTTATGACAAAAATAAAGCTGGGCAGAGCAGTGCCTTCTTATAATCCTAGCACTCCGGGAGGCTGAGGCAGGAGTACTGCAAGTTTGAGCCTAGCCAGGGTAACTTCACAATCTAATGACCCTTCTGCAAAATTAAAAAAAGGGCTAGGGTTGTAGCTAAGTGCAGAGGCTCTGGGTTTAGTCTCCTGTAGTGTTGAAAAAAAAAAGAAAGAAAGAAAGTGGGAGGGCTGAGGCAGAGGACTCTATGACAAGCACGGCAGCAGCTGGATGCGGGCTGGGGAAGGCCCCTGCGCCAGCCTAAGGAGCCTGCCCTCTACCTGCCAGGACTGGGGTCTCAGAAACAGGCAGAACCCACGGTGTGCTGGGCATGGTGGCGCAGGCCTATAATCCTAGCGCTTGGGAGGCTGAGGCAGGAGGATCAATGCACATTTAGGGCCAGCCTGAACTATACTGTGAGATACTATCTCAAAAAAGCAAAAATACAAAAAATCAACTAACCACACAAAAAACAAATCCAAGGTGAGTAGGCAGAGACGATAATAAGAACTTCTAATCAAATTTATGTTTTTGAAATGTTTTAATGTGTTTTATATATTATGTATCAGTTGACTAATAAGGCATATCATTTATAAATGAACACATCAGAGGTACACACACTATTTTCTTACAGAGGACATTTCTTTTTCTTTTCTATTATTATTATTATTATTATTATTAATTATTATTATTATTATTATTATTTTTTTTTTTGGTGGAGTGCTGAGGATCAAACCCAGGGCCTTGTGCACGCTAGGCAAGAAGTCTACCACTGAGCCACATCCCAGCCCCTGGGAGGACATCATTTCAAAAGTTTGGAGACCACTGCTTGAGATCCAGGGGGATCACTGGACTTATAATCAGACAGTGAGATTCAAGCAATTAGGAGAGCTTTGCAATAGTCCAGGCATACAGGCAGGGTAAAAGCTAATTAAAAATAGGTGGAATCAATAGGTAAGAGACACTGCCAAAGAAGGAAATCAGGGGTTTGTGACAGGAAGAAAAAAATGGTTCTGAAGCTTTCTGCCTAGGTGCCTGCGTGGATCCCAGGGATGACATTAGAAAGAGGGAGCACGGGACAGCAGTGCCTGGAGGTGAGAATGGGAGACCACGGATGAAACCATCATGAAGAAAAGGAGGTAGAGAATGAATTTCTCAACCCAACAGAGCCCAAAGGCCCCTGCTGCTTGCCAGCTGAGCTCTACATCTAAAAGCCCAGTGGCAAGGAAGTGATGCGCGGAGACCACAGGGGCCCCAGCTGGGAACGGGGCAGTGAAGGAGGGGCCGAGCCAGGGCCGGCGGCTCAGCAGACGTCCTACCTGATCTGGCTTGAGCTCCTCCCGCACGGCCTGGATGGCGTCCCGACACTCACTGAGCATGGATTCAAACAGACGCTCCTTGGTTTCTTCACTTTCAGCCTAGACAAACACAGGACAAAACAAGAGGCTTTCTTCTGAGTTAACTGCAGCACTGCAGCAGGAAGAGGGCATGATAGGGCTATGACCCTCCTACCACGCACACTGGACTGTGTGGCCCAAATCCAAGATTCTTTTGTCACCACTCTCTAGCACAGGATCTTCTTATGGCCTTATCTATTAGATCATACAGAAATGAAAAACTTTTTAAAGTGAATATATTGCAGGGGCTGGGGAGATGGCTCAGTGGAATAAGTGCCTCTCTGGCAAGCACAAGGGCCTGAGTTCAATCCCCAGTTCCGCAAAAAAAAAAAAAAAAAAAAAAAAAAAAAGTGAATATACTGCAAAAGCTATGTGCATAACTGATCTGGAACTTTGTCAAGAAATGGGTACTTTACTTGTTTGTTTTTATCTTTTTGAGACAAGGTCTCGCTATACAGTTTAGGCTGGCCTTGAGCTCACTCTGGAGCCCAGGCTGGTCTCAAATTTGCAAAGATCCTCCTGCCTCAGCCTCCCCAGTGCCGGGGTTACAGGTGTGCGCCACCGCGACTGGCAGGAATGGGCGCTTTAATGTCTTCCCATCCAGAGCTTTCCCCTTCCTCCCTTGAGCGCTCCAGCCTCTGCTCAGGATCAGCACCAGATACCACCAGGAGCCTTAGAGAGCACACCGGGGCGCTGCTCCAGCACATGAAGCACAGCACGCCCAAGGGTCCTTCCTCTTTTCCTTTACAACACACGGTTATGCTCCATCATACGGTGATGGAACTACCCTGCGTAAACTCAGCCCCACTGGCAGGCTCTGATTTTCTTTTAGGTCCAAGCCAGTTATAAACATTACTAATCAATAATGAAAAAGAAGTTTCACACGAAATTCTCTTCTCTACAGGCACTCTGCATTCCGATATCACCCCAGCCTCCTCTGAGAACGACTCTTGAGGGCAGAACAGTCTGGCAAGAATGAGACATCAGTCTGTGCAGGCCTGGGTATCACTCTGCTGCACAGCAGGGCAAAGTGAGAAAGCCACTCCGTCACTGAACACCTGCCAAACCACATTCTCCTAAAGAATCTGACTGAGCAGGTGGGAAAGGATGAAAGAAAGGAGATGAACTTGTGTTACTGGCAGATCTGCTGTTAAGTTAAAACATCAACATTCCATTATTATATTTGACTTTCCCCAGGAACCAACCTCTAATCTGGAAAAAAAAAAAAGTCTTAACTGGTCTCTAAGAAAGTGCAAAAGGGAACCTTGTATCACCAATTTCTTTAAGAGAAGTTTAAAGGAACTTTAAAAAAAAAGAACTTTTCTCCCCTTTAAGAAGTCTTACATTTTTCCTAGTTGCTAGTGTGAGAAAAGTCTCCCGTGTAAATTTCTCAATCTAAATCAAACATACTCTTCTACTTAAGGGTTACTTGACTTTCTTTTTTTGAATTCCTCCTCTCTCCTCTCTTACTCCCCCCTTTCTTTTTCTTTTTTCTTTTTGCGGAACCGGGGATTGAACTCAGGCCCTTGCGCTTGCCAGGGAAGCGCTTATTCCACTGAGCCATCTCCCCGGCCCTTATTCCACTGAGCCATCTCCCCGGCCCAACTTTCTTTTTTTGTTTGTTTGTTTTTGGCAGAACCGGGGATTGAACTCAGGCGCCCGCGCTTGCCATGGAAGCACTTACTCCACTGAGCCATCTCCCTGGCCCCTACTTGCCTTTCTTGCTGTTCACTAATTTAGGAACAAATTGGGGCCCAGGCAAGCTTGGTCCCCATCAGCTAGCTCCCTGGGATACCACAGCAGTGCTGCCCACCAGAGCTTTCAGCTATGATAGAAATGTTCTCCCTGGGGCTGGAGAGATGGCTCAGTGGTCTAAGGCACCTACTTAGAACAAGCTTGGCAAAGCATCAGGGACCGCGGTTCAATCCCCCAGCACCACATGCCAGCCAGCCCCGCCCCCTGGTGGGCTGAGCTGGCCACACACACACCACTCTCTCTCTCTCTCTCTCTCTCTCTCTCTCTCTCTCTCAAATAAATAAAAATAAAAAAATAAAATTATCTTTGAATTGTACATGAAAATAAAGATAAGATGTTTTAAAAAAAAAAAAAAAAAAAAAATGTTCTCCCTTGGGCCTGGCTGACGCAGTGGGCGTTGGCCACCTGGGCCACTGAGTACTTGAGATTTTTATGAAATGGAACTAGTCCCATGTGTGAGGGGCTACTGTGTTGGATATTGTGGTGCTAGAGAAAAACACTTTACACAACATTGTTAAGTGCCTCAGGTTGGCAAGATTTCGTATAATTGTTTACTCAAAGCTGCTGGCCAAATTTTTCATAGTACAATTTCCATGGAAATAGTACAACTGTGTAACACTTATTAAGTGGAATATGATATGTGAATAGAGGGAGGAGAGGAAGGGGACATAAAAAGAAATAAAATGTGTAATATCCAGGCGTTGTGGTAAATGCCTGTAATCCTAGCACTTGGGAGGCTGAGACAGGAGGATCCCCATGAGCTTGAGGCCAGCCTGGGCTACATAAGTGAGTTCAAGGCCAGCCTGCACTATATACTTATTTTTATGTAATTGGTACAGGATCTCACTATGCAACTCCAACTTGTAATGATTTTCCTGTTTCAGCCTCCCTAGCACTGGGATTACAGCTGTGCGCCAGCACACCCGATCTCAGTGGTCAGCACTGTGTGTCCCAGGTGAGGCGGGCACAGCATGCAGTACTGGGGATCAAATCCAGTCCCAGTCCTTGTGCTTGCCAGGCAGATGCTCAGATCGCTGAGCTATCTTCATGGCCTATGCCTGCAACACACACACACACACACACACACACACACACACACAATTCTCTTTTTTTTTTTTGTATTTTAGGGAAGGGTCTACATGGATTCAGGGTCTCACTACTAGATTGGACTCCTGGTTATCTACCTGTTTATAGGCCTCCCAAGAGTTGGGATTACAGGTGTGCGCCACCACACCCAGTCTTAATTGCCATCTCAGTGCACCCCGGGGGCAGGGCCAGCACAGCAGCCCCAGCCCCTGTGCCTGCTTGCAGGCACTTTAATCTGCTGAACTATTTGGCTGGCCTTTTTTTTATTTTTTTTATATTTTTTTATTTGTGTGTGTGTGTATGTGGCCAGCTCAGCCCACCAGGGGGCGGGGCTGGCTGGCATGTGGTGCTGGGGGATTGAACCGCAGTCCCTGTGCTTTGCTACAGCTTGTTCTAAGTAGGTGCTTCAGACCACTGAGCCATCTCACCAGCCCCCCCCCCCCTTTTTTTTTTTGCTCCTCGAATGCCTTCAGGGCACTTTTGGCTGGCTGGAGGGTTGTGGGGATCGAACTAGAATAAGCTGAGGCTGAGAGCTTTGTGGAAGCAGCCACTTAAAGAACTGAGCTAGAGCCAGGCCCCCCAAATGGAATAAGGAATTTTTTTTTTTTTTTTCTCCTTGAATGCCTTCAGGGCACTACTGCATTGGCTGGAGTGTTGTGGGGATCGAACTACAGCAAACTGAGGCTGCCAGCATTGTGGAAGCAGCCACTTAAAGAACTGAGCTAGGGCTGGGCCCCCTTGGCTGGCCTTTACACACACCAATTCTCTACAATGAATTATGTAGCACAAACATACACTAATAAAAATTTAAATATATATATTTAGTATGTGAATACCTTGGCTTTGTTTAAGAAACCAAACAGCCAACTACACATATGCTAGTTACCACAGCAGCAGGAAAAACAAAACTTAGCACCAGTATAAATATAAGCAATTCACCAAATATGCCACCAACACCCCTTCTCAGATGGGTGTGGTTCAGTGGGTCAGGCAATGGGTGTAGAAGAAAAACACAAATTTTGTTTTACAAGCTACAGAGGATGTTCCTTTCCCACTGGTAGCATACGGCTCAAATTTAAATGTGAAAAGCACTGGCTGTGCATGCCTGCAGTCCCAGCAAGGCAGCCAGCGGAGGCAGGAGGATCACCAGGAGTCTGAGCCTAGCCTAAACTACATAGGGAGACCCTGTCTAAAAAAAAAAAAGGAGAAACAAAACAAAGCAATAAACTTAAAAGAAAGCACGAATTCCTTCTGTTAACAGCTACTAGGTCAACTTTTGTATCAAGGTGCTGAGCACAAGCAAACTTCCCTCCAGCTCCCACAACCTTCTACATTTCACTGGGAATTTTGCACATGTCTTAAGTAACAATGCAGGAAAAGGTACAGCTATGGGGAGAACCTAAGGTAGCCGTGTTTTCTTCAGATGTCCACACTTCCAGGTTGACTCACAGACTAACTCTGAATAGAACTTGGGGTTTAATTTGTTCTGCTTGCTTACATTTTATTCTATAAGCTACATTTGAGGCTAAGCATTCCTGAAAGAACCTTGATACACACCTCGACATGAAAAGGCAGGACTCTTCATCCATCCGCCAACCTCCCAGGTCTGCAGGGAACCTACAAGGATGTGTTCCTAATCAAAGGAGCAAACTCCTTGAGTAACAGATTCTCCCACACGTGCCCATGACACAGAGAACCCTTATGCCCAGAAGTAAAGTGTCACTCACGGGCCCTACTGAGGAAATTCTAGATCTCTTTTTATTTATTTAAAAAAAAAAAAAATTTTTTTTATTTTAACATTTAGTGTGTGTGTGTGTGGCCAGCTCAGCCCACCAGGGGGCGGGGCTGGCTGGCATGTGGTGCTGGGGGATCGAACCGCAGTCCCTGTGCTTTGCCAAGCTTGTTCCAAGTAGGTGCTTTAGACCACTGAGCCATCTCTCCAGCCCCCATCTCTTTTTATAAAACACCTAGGATACGCTTGCCACAGACTAGGGGTTTCTTCACACAGTGTCTCCCCTTGGAGAAAAAACGCTGGGCTGCTGTTTGCCTTGCTATTAGAGACAGATTCCCAGGTTGTTTTCACTTGGCTATAGAAATTCCTGGAAGATGGTGCTGTGACTAAGAGGCATACAAGGCAAGTCTGGCCACATTCCCTGCCACACCCTTAGGAGAACTGTGGG